GGTACGGTTTGACGAAACGAAATTACCATGTCAATACCAATCTTCGAACCATATTGCAAATCTCTTGGGCATGTCTCGAGCTTCTGGCCCTAACAGTAGCCTCGCACATGCAGTGGCGACCAGCTCGTGTGCAGCATGTGTTGACAGCCTGCCTGGTGCGCGCCCACCTCTCGACATTGTCTTGCCATCCGGAGCAAGGTGGGTGCAGAAGTGTTTTTCCAAAGTCTACCTAACTATAAACCACTTTACACCGCTGGGCTCTGGGTGGATGACGTCGTCTGCGACGGTCGAACTGTCACTTCAAAGCCTCAGTGATGCCTGTCACACGCCATCTGCTCCAGTTTGTTCTGCGTGCATTATTATTCCCTCTGGTGTTTGTCGCCTGCTCGTATCCATTTGTTCTCTGTCCCTCCCCCTCTAGACGTTGACCTGATGATTCTGCCCGGCCTGGCTTTCACTAAGGACGGAAGGCGTCTTGGTCGAGGTGGCGGTTACTACGATCGCTATCTGGCTGGACTGCGGGAGCTTCTGAGTCCACGGATGCCGTTCCTGTTTGCACTTGCCTATGAGGAGCAAGTCCTTCCAGAATTACCAACTTGTCTGCACGATTTCACAGTTGATAAGGTCTTTTACTCCTGATATGCTTCCAGAAAACGGAGAGTTGGGAGTAAGCTGGTACTGCGCAGGGCCAACCAGATTTGCTAGTTTTTGCAGCTGCCTCTTGCGTTTTCAAAAGTTTTAAACATTCCTTTTTTATCCGTATTGTGTCCATCTTCGTGCTGTTTATCTTCAGCACGCGACGTTTCAATATAACACTATACTAATGCGAATTTCATACCTTCGAAATCTGTTTACAGCCGTCCGAGCGCTTGATACTTGGGGTCACCACGATCGTCTGTTTTGTCCCCACTCTGTCACTAGTATATAATTAGGATTCTTGATTGTACCCAAGGCGAACGACTTGATTAATAAATTGTATCGATAAATAGCAATACCGTCGTAAAGACTACTTATGAACGGAAACAGCCCTCACACGACTAGAGATAAATACTGGAGTTTCAAGCACTGTGTTAGGTGAGGAATGACGCTGGCTGAATGCCGGAGCCATCAATCTACTCGTCCGAGATTTTGGTTTCGCATGAAATCCTGTCGCCGGAAATTAGTAGTCCATGTCACGATGTGAGACACGGTCAATCGACCACCGTTACATCTCTGCAGGGAGTGTGGGGATGGCAGACCCATTGATCGCTTTCATTAGAATCTGAGTTTTCGCTCATCTTCGTCCGCTTTCGCGACTGGTCGGTCTTCTGACCTCATCGCCTAGGCAAGTTGCAAGACAAGTCGTCAGTCATCAGAGACCTTGTGTCGATCCTTACCTGCATTAGAAGGCGTTTATAGGCCGAAGTATTCTACAGTGAAGACCCTCAACCATTGTTTATAAACGCCATCGAAACCGACAGGACAACGAGCCCGTTCTCGAATATGGTTACTTTCGTCATACCGTCAGTCCTTATGAGCCAGGTTTTGATCCGAATAGCAATATACCTGGGTCATGGGTGCCAAACGTTCCCCTTAATTCGTGAAATTTATTCGCTGTGTTAACTGTGAATTCCAGCATGCAAAATGGCCAATTGGGGGATTAAGCGGTCAGCGTGGTTCAACATGACAAATAGGGGTCATATTTAATTGTCGGAAGCTGTAGTGAATGCGATCAAGCCGGAAACATGGAAGAAGCTAAATTCAAAATTTGTTGCCTGTCTGATGATATTTTGCCATACACGAAGCAACAATGGACCTTCGTGGTTTTCAAAAAAGCCACCGTATTATTAAAGAAGGGAAGATTAATGTTCAAATCTTCTTGAAAAGGGGCAAGTGAGAATGGGGACTTTGTTTCCCTTACGGTACCAGAGTTCAAGGAAACAGGCAGATTCTGTTCGATGTGAAAGGTTCAAAAAAATTGAATAAGTACGCTACTAACTGCAGGGCATGGTTATGAGCGAGCTTCTGAACGGTTTCGGGAAAGAATTAAGTCTCGTGATGAACAGATAAAAGTCCTCATTTAGTCCAAGTATGCAACATCTGTCGCAGTAACTGAAGTGAACCTTCGCTACTGATTAGGCTGCTATCCGGACTCCCGTAAGTCCAACGTTAAAAAAGCGAAAAGACTGAACTGTCACATTCCTGTGCAAGTAAAAAGTCCGCAAACTGTATGCCGTGATCGGGTGACCAACTTTCAGACATCATTCCCCAGTCCAAGATCGTTGATTAATTGTGCTCGGTGTGCCATCTTGTCAAAGGAGTCTAACTTGAAGGCTCGACGAATCTCTTCTCTCAACTGTTCGGTGGCAAAAGCCAAATTCTTCGTCTAGAAAGGTCGAGAAGGAAAACGCGAAAGTGAACAGGCCAATTCCTGAAGTTCTGCACGGTTGCTCCTTAAGACGGGAAAATGGAAACCAAAGAGAGTTTGAACGGCAAAAAGGCACCAGTCGCTCATTGGACGCGCAAGCTGGCATGGGAACGCAACACCTGTGCACAAAAGACACTTGAAGTCCTGCGTGCTGGCAGCAAAAAGCAACTCTTTAGATGTTGGGGTCAAAACACCTCCAGAAATCACTCTTTTAAGCTGCTGGCTCTTTGAACCCCCATGTTCAGGGAAAACCAATTCTTGCACAATGTCTGTTTTCTAAATGTGCAGAAATCTGTTCGTTCAACTGCAGCAGACTGGTCGGTCTTTCTAAACAGCACTGGAAAACTGCATACATTTAAATTTGTGTCCAAGTGCCATGTTGAAAATCGAGTCGTTTTCGATTTAACCGTTTTAAGGACAGATACTGTGCAGTTCGAACTTTAAGTTACGAAATACTGGAAAACGGGATCAGTGTATTTCCAGACCAGTGTTGGAATAAAAATATTAACAAAATGCCGCAGGCCGCAGTTTACGAAGAATGCCCTATTGCATAAATTGAGGCATCCCTGGCGGTTCTTCATAAAAGACTTCTGAATGTTTGGAAGTACACTAGAACAGGAACTCCCGTAAGACAGGCGGCTTTGTGCTAATTTCCGGAGAGACTGGAATCGGGGTCGAGTTTGCAGTTAAGGCTAGCGTTAAGGTTAAACTAAATACACGGGAATAGGTGCCAGTAAGCGACAGATCTCACACACTTAACTGAAATTCTTAAATTGAGTTTTCGATTAGGACGGATTGCTTAAGTTGACCCCTTGGTATTTCAGACAAGCCAGGCAGTTGGCTTTTGAATGCACTTTTTTTCTGTCGTCCGGAAAATCCGCACTCTGTGAAAAGTGACTACTAAGGTAGTATGGATTTTTTCTACCGAGTTTCGATGCATTCATAAATTCAAATACACATACTTTATAGAAAATCACGTTTTCTTCAAATTTAATATCCGAAGAAAAGGTATCTTTTGGTTTTAAAAAGGTTTTTCAGTTCACGAATAATTTGGGTCTCGATTTGCCATTGCAGTTGGGTTAAGGGATCTGAGTCTACGAGTTGCATACTTTTCGGGTAAGGAAAAACATACATTGTTTTGCGAATGGAGGCGAAAGTTAGAATTCCAGGCCCAGATGACAGCTCAGTCAAACGATTTACCGATCTGGCGCCGGCGTACAGAGCCCTGCGCAGTCCTACCTACGGTGACTTGCGCGTGGATTGGTTCATTGTGATAGTAGACTTACGTTGCATCTACCACACTCTCCTCCTCGCCCACCTGTGCCCCGTGTCAAGATAGAGTCAAGAAGACGGGGGGGGGGTGGGAGAGGGCGCAGGTAGATAGCACGATCGAGCCCGCACCTTGGCGTTCTACTCCACACCCCCTGGCCCACATAGCAAATGACCAGGATTTTAGCGAACAAGAACAATAGGGAGGACTGCAGGGGTCCGAAAGTGCGCGACAAACGCCGGTCTGTCACTGCATCTCACCCTGAGATGTTGACGTTTGTTATAGCACTCATTCGGGTAATGCCTGCCAGAATCCGACATGGCCCCCGTGTTGGTCCAGCGCATCTATCACGTGGCCCGTTTGGACGGCCCGGACAAAGATAGGTTGGAGGACCTCACTTAACAGTCGGGCGACTGTGGATCGTGTCATATACGGATTTGTTTTGGCATCCATTTGAAGGCCGTTGCAGACATTACACTGCCCATGAAAATTACTTCCCATGACCTCAAACCATTACTCAGACTGCAAAAAGCTCTGAAAATTTGCTTTTTGTTTATTTTTCTTAAATTGACGGCTCATTTTCGTTGCCATATGAAAGCTTACGATTAGACTTTCGGCGGAAATGCAAACAATTTCTGTTTTCTTGTATCTCGTCAGCTTACTGTCTGGCGTGCTGGCCGATCCGTTACCACCATTTCCGTATGACACGATCCACATTGTACCGACAGTTAAGTAGGGTCCTCATCTCCTATCGTTGCCTTTATGCCATATAAGAAATATGAAATGTTGAATCGGATGTGGACTATGTTTTCTACATAATGAGGGGCATTATTAAACGGACAGATACGATACTCTTTTAATGGATATTTCACAATCTCACGATCACAAACTTTTTAAACCGAAAGATAAACTTTCTTCAAGTATAAAAATTCAAGGCGTGATTTTTTACCAAATTAATGCATGAAATAGTGCTCTTATGAAGATTTTCTATAGAATACATTTGAATCTATAAGGACGTCGAAAATTGACAAAAAATGCTTACTACTTAGGTGGTCAATTTTGCCGAGCACGGTTTTTTTTGCAGATGGCCGAAGAGGAGTGCAATAAAAGGCCAAAATCCTGCCGCCTCTGAAATATTACAGGATCATGCCGCGGGATAATCATTATTGAAGCCCCAGTTAAGTAATCCTCCCCGATCGGAAACACATTTTAGAATTCTGGTAAACCTTTCCCGAGATCGGTTGTTAACTGTGCCATTCCTGGAGTCTAGCGCAAGGCCACCCGTACTATTAGGGGAGGTTCCCGTCTCTGTCGTACCGAACATCTTGGTAATGCGCTATTCTGCTGGCCTACCTTCTGAAGCATTTTGTCACGTTCCTCGGCTGACCGTTGAGCGCGCTCTTCTTTCTGCCGCAAGACCTCCAGAACGCTTTGTCGTCTTGCCTCTTCGGCAGTGGCCAGGCTTGAGAGAAGAAAGATGTAAAGAGAGAGAGAGAATTTGGACAACCATCAAGGACCCACCTCATTTGGAAATCATGCTAACTAACAGGAATTTGGACCTCAAGCTAAGCAGTTCTAAAACACCAACACGAAAGACGAAAATAAAAGTTTTGATCTCTAACGTCCGATGAAAATGCCTTAGGGCCAAATAAATGTTTTCCAAGTGATTCGAAGACCCTTGGTGTCATTGTTAAGGCGGTTCCTGGAAAACTGAAGGTGCCGGTGCTCAAAAATCCACACTGAACCGTTCCTGGCGCGGTCAGCCACGTGGTCTGACTGCAAATAACGGGAATCTTGAATTCGATTTCAGATACCCAATAGACAGTCCAGGTGGACAACAGTCAACTGCCAGTTATCGAAGTCGTTATTCGCCACAAGGATAAAATGACTGAGGACGACGGTGTACAGGAAAACAGAAAACGGGCAAAATCCTGGCTTATCACAGTAACTACCCATGGCGTACTAAATGAGGCCTTATGAACCCTCCACAGGAGAGTATATAAGCCTGCAGCATTTAGAGGAGTGTCAAATTGGCAGGAATTCCGTATCACACATTGCCGACTTATGACTGACTGATCACGATACTGCTTTGTTGAAATCGACAGGCGGCTTGAGAAGGCTAAAGGGTAAACAGCAAAGAAATGAAGGGTCTGGCGAGCGTTACCAAACACGGTAATGTGTCTGAACAAGTCTTTGTCTCCTTGGATGACTTCTGCAGCCTGGCATCGCCCGCAGGCTCTAGTAAACTTTTTAGCGACAGATTACCGTGACTAAGAGCACGCGCCGCTCGAATACGCGGGCCTGATAGTCGTAATCTATAGCGAAACGCCGGTAGGCGATTGAGAATTGACAAAAACGAATACTGCACAGGATGGGTCAGTTGTCGCTGGCGGTGGTACATTGTGCAACCTTTGCATAAAGGCCGGAGGCTCTGGTGATGATGGTAAGTATCAAAGGTTTCATTGTTGTTCTCACACATGCATTATGTTGTTATCATTTTCGAACTTTACTGAGACTTAAAACGTTACTCAGAAATGAGGAAGGATTAGTGATTTGTTTCGCCTTCCAAAGTCAGGATTTGTCGTAGGGTGGAATAAGATACATGATAAAAGTATGCAGTGTCCTCAGTCACATACTGAGTGCTTGGGGTAATCACACATTTTAACTTATTGATTTTGAATACTAGATTGTAATTAACCTCTGCTTCGACCGATATCCCGCATATATAGGGCTGGCCCCCCTTCCTCAAGCAAACGTCTCAGAGACTTAGCCGGTGGACTTAGCCCAACACGTCAAAATTCCAGGCAGAAGTAACGATCACACAGCCGAAGTGCAGCTCAGGATCTATCAACCTGTTAATGGCTTGTCTTGCGGCTTAGGGGGTCCTATGGACGCATGTCGATCAACGGGGCTGCGGAAGACAGATCTAGCAGAAAACAAGCAGTAGCGCTATGCAGCCAGCTACGGGGGTACACAAACGCAGATGATATTTGTACTGCAAAGGTTGACAGATATCGACCACTACCTTTTTTACGAATATTCCTATCAAAGCTATCGGACATACAAATGACTATTTCTGACTGTCGGAGTCCAGGTGGTAGTGTGCCCGACGTTAGGCATACAAGTCGGCAGCTCCTACCACTTGAGCTACTGGGCACGCCGGAGCGGTCGCAATCGGGAACAGGCAATCAGAAGAATGACGTCAGCTGATTGAAAGGTGGAGAGTAAGAGTTCTGTTTTGCTTCGGAGTTCCGGGACTAGTGTTCAGTTAAGCAGCCGCGTAGCGGTTAGCACTTATTAATCGCTTAGTGTTCCCTATTGCCAACATCTTGCGAACCAGCTGGCAGTCGCAGGTGGAGCGCCACGTCGTGTGGAGGCAGAGCTGTCGCTGACGCGCCAATCATTTCATCTCATCGCCGCGAAGCTAAGACGGATGACTTGGGCTCAGTGACGCATAATCGCCGCAAGTATCAATTTCCGATACCTCGACAAGCACCATTAATTGCTCCCCAACTATAGGAGCTTGTATGCTTTCTGAATGCTGGGATGCTGAACACGTAATCTACGTGCTCTTCCATTTCTTCGAACATCTCATTGTAAAAGCATATGCCTAGAGTCTGCTCATGGCCAAAGTTAATATCCGCCCAACAGGAAGACGAAGGTCGAAAAGTATAACGCAACATGATTTAAAAGGCCTGAAAGTGGGTGTCCGATGACGGCTGAATGGCTGGCTACTCAGTCACTAGTAGTGACGTGGTTACGATAGAGACGCTACGGTGCCTGACCGAATCCATGATAAAGGAGATTATGCTTAGCACGGTAAGCAGTGTTCTTTCCAGCCGTGGACGTGGAGGCCGACCCTTTTGTGCTCCGCAACCACAAGAATGAGCGTCTGAACCAAGGGGAACAGAAACATATCCGGCAACGGTATAGAGAAGGACCCCAGTTAACTGTCAGTAGACTGCGGGTCGTGCCATACGAGATTTTTGGTAAAGGGGGTTTTGCGGGTGGGGCAGCAAGCTAGACAGTAGGCCGACAAAATGAAAGAAAACATAAAAACTGCTTGGATCTAGCCGAAAGTGCTATCCTACGCCATTGTACGACAATAGAAATGAGGCTAGTAATTAAACAATAAACAAAAAGTGAATTCCAAAAAATAGCGGATTCCGAGTTAAGGTGTAAGGCCGTGGGAAGTAATTGTTATTGGCAGTGTAATTTCTGCAACAGCCTGCAAATGCAGGCACGATCCACAGTCTACTAACAGTTAAGCGAAATCCTTTTCTGTACCGTTGCCACATATCCAATTGAGAAGGCGTTATGAGGCCCATTAAGCTCGAAATTACTATTTGGATGTCGATCTTATCTACCTTGCTGACGTGCGACATCTTGTTTTTATTAGGTTGCTGGCTGCGCAGCCACAACTATACAACTGCAAACAAAAGTGGACAACTTCTGAAACCGGCTTTGCTCTTGACTTCACCATGTGTGTGGTAGATTCAAAAAGGTGAACGAAACGTATCGAAGTACATATGTAAAACGAATGCTCTCCTAAGATGGATTACTCACCGAAAACACATTCTGTCTATCTGAATGATTGGCTATCATCTAGACGTGCAAAATGAGCCCAGAAACTTCTCAGTTAACATAGGCAAGATTAGTTGCTTCAGCCCTCCCCATTTAAGCACACTGGCTGCCTAAACTTACGCGCGCACGCTCGGTGGAATGACCGTTAACTTAATTGGATAGTGCCGTTATGGGAGAGCGGGACGTTATACTGATGTCTATATGGTGACGCTATCCTGTCATGGTCAGTTAAACTCAACTGTCATGGTTCAAAACACATGGAGCAAGAGATAGCGGACTTCGACCCTCCGTTATATTTGTTTATAGGTTGATTTAGGAAAGGTGATTAACGTATGAATTGCAAAGAACACATACGCCTCCAAGTTGGCCTGGCGTTTAAGTTCACGCTGTTGTCGTTCAAAGGCCAGTCGTTGTTGTTCAGCTGCAGTCTTCTGTAGCGTTTTCTCACGGGCTACTTCCAAAGTCTCCAAGTGAAAGGTAAGATACATTTATTCAAAGTAGCATTACTTAATTTTCCAAAGAGTGCGGATAACAAGTGTGAAAAACAGCCTGCCTATAAAACTTATCAGTCAATATAAAGCCAAAAACCGTCATCAAGGCACTTAGAACTGGGACTTCACCATCTGCACATGTGGGTAACTTAACCATTCCTTAGTTGCACGAAAAATACAGACGGACCGAAATTAAAATAACGTGGAAACCTGAGGAAACAGATGAGTGAGGATCAGTTGCGCAATGAGTAAAGAAACTACTTCGAGGACGAGTGTTAAAACCCAAGACAGCTGGAGCAGCGATCCTGCCACCTATGACAGCAGCTTAGTAATGAAAGGCAGAGCGCATAAAGGGACGGTGGATCATTGAACGGTTTCCAGTCTCCTAAATTTCACCGATGAGGAAACAGTGGACAACATATTCTTGGAGACTGACTGTCTACTGAAAAAAACTAGGGCAGAAAAGTCGACGCCATGTCTCTTCTAACAAATTGGCATGACGACATTTCGGTCGTCACGAATGACAATGACCACCGCGTGCCCCACAGCGGCATGGGCGCACTACGGTGGCTTGCGCAGCATTTGCCACACTCCCTCCTCCCTCACCGCATGGGCCCTGTGGTAAGACGGCACCAGAAAGACCTGGGGTGGGATCAGGCGTGGGGGCTGACAAGGCTATGAAGCCGGTCTGCGAGTGCAACACTCGACTTGATTTGCGCACAATAGACCAGGGTTTTACAGAAACAAAGGGGGCTCGAGTCCCATCTGAGGAAATGCCTTAGAGACCAAAACCAGAAGGAGCCATTACAGCCGGATTCTCCTCCCTGAGAGTAGGAGCGAATTATTTTGTCAGTTGGCAAAATTCTCAAGCCACGACTTTTAGCGCATTGTGATTGCTCAAAAGAACGTCAGATTTATTGTAGTGGGGAATGCGCTAAAGCACCGTGGGAATTGAGACCCCAGAATCAATCTCACTCTTCCTATTTCCTCTTCCCTTTATAGTGAAACTTAAACGTCGGTGTGTGTTATACTGTCTGACTGCCGTCTACAGTTACTGTGAGTAAATTACAAGGCGCATGCTATGATGCCTAACTGCTCACTTGGGCCACCTGAAAACCACTGGTACGATTACAATTATTAAGAATAATATCGTGCAGGACGGCCGACATACGATAACGTCGAACTACTAAATTCAGGGATGAAACGCATGCCGCATCCACAATTAGCTCAAATACGTGAAAGGTTGGAAAAGGGGTTACACGAGTGAGTCCCACAGTAATTGGGAGACAGGATTGCTAAATTATGCAAAGCTATCTTAACAAAATAGGCAACAAAGGTATGATTATATATTACGTGGGTGTATATAAGCCCCTCTCAGCGAAGATGTAACTACCCAAAAGTACGGTTAAGCATTAGACAGGTCGCGTCGATAGCTGCTTGCTCCCTATAGGCCGAAAATGGTTTCATCCTTGCGGTGTGGAGAACGACCGGCTGATGACGGCGCGAAAGATCATTGCGTATCAGACTTATCTCCTGAAATGTTAGCCGAAATCTCGAGGCGTTTTTTCGACTAGAAGGGATTACTTAGGTAGGGGTGTAATATTGATCCTCGTGCAGCGTAATGTCAAGCTATTTATGTCACGCCAGGATGCCGGCTTTTGAATGAGTTCTCTCCTGCCGTCTGCAAAGACTACTCAGTTAGAAAAGGAAGATTCGATCACTGGAACGAGAAGTTTATTGGCTTGACGTTTCGGATTCTCACTCTAATCCATCATCAGAGATGGTTGCTGACAAAGGTTGGGTAGTATGAAAACTTTCCATTCATTTTCGATGCGCTTGTAGATTCTAAAAATAAGTTATAGAAATCTGGCACCAAGATACTCTTTCTTACACTCATTTAGTAGAAAGGTACGTCTAAGCTATTGACAAGGTCATACATGTTTCATATAACTTTGCAATGGAGGGGAACCATGATTCATACTTTATGAACAACATTAAGGGATGGACAGACACACAATACTTTATGAGCGGACATTACACTGTCTCAAAAATCCAATGATTATACTCTTTTAAAACTGAAAAATGTCCTGTCTTCAGGTATAAAATTTAAAAAGACGAAGTTGCCACCAAATGAGCAGCAGAAAGAAGATTTCTGTGCCTGTTTTCTATAAAATATAGTTGACTTTATAAGCACATCTGAAATCGGTGGGTAGCATCCACACTATTTATGCAGCCATTTTTAGCCAAATGTAGTCTTTTCAGATGGGTGGACAGAAGCTCTTCCAAAAGGCGGCATCTTGGCGTGAGTGAAATAACTTGGGATTACTTTGCAGTGTAACAATGCAACGCCTTTGTGTAGAGGTCTAAATAATAAAGCTCACAGTTCAGTTTATAAGTTGTGCGGAAAGTTAAATACTGCTCGACGTCTTGTTAAATGGGCCATTTTGATCATGCATGAAGGCAAAACATTTTCAACCATTGGCTAGCAATTTGAGCGAACAACAAAAGTACCCTATCTCCATACTCCTGGAGGTTTTTCTGATAGTGTTCGATTTCTTCGTCCAGTTGCAGTTTGCGTGCACTGATCTCTTTTTGTTTTCTTTCTCGTGTCATTCTAAAAATTGCAAAAAGGGTAAACTCCCGTCACTTGTGCAAATCTATAAGGATTTTTTGCCATCCAAAATAATCGACAGTTCAAACCACAGCCAAGATGAATATCCTTAAGTCTAAGGTTGATGAAATCAAGGTTTTTGAGATATATTTCCCCAAAACAACCTCAAAATTTGTAGTCAAAAAGATTTCGCAATATCGCTTATTTGCTGCTGTTGTTGGACAGCAAGCTTTTCGTCTTGTAGTCTCTAACCCTCGGCAAAACCAACTCGAGCTGTCGGATTCTGTGAAAACCAAGTCCAACCATATCTCTCCAGACAATGCTTGCGGGAAGCCGTCTGTTGGAGTGACGGTTTCATGTGGGGGCTGAATTTAAAGATCGGTGTCTCTATCTAGCCGCCAGGCACATCCGGCTGACATTAGAGAATTATGACGGATTGCAGGTGAAGCCTTTCTGACAACAAATAACATTTGTTAAGTGGCAATATCGTCACGGTTTGTTCTGTTAGAAGTAACGAACCGGCCGCATCACTATCCAGTCCCGCCTGAAAGAATTACCGCGATATGGTTCAGAGATGTCCATTGGTCAGACGCGAAAATGTACTAATTTCACTGAAAGCCTTTAGTGAAGGTGTAGCGTCTAAGCGGTGTGGGTGTGTACTCAGAATGCCACGATCATCAGACCAAATACCGGCTTGTAAGAAGACAGAGTTAGGGGTCTATTGTATCCAAAACTCTGAGTTGTCTTCCCAGGCGGTAGTGGCCGCTGACGAAGCCAGTGCTGGTGTTGACTGCGTCCAATCATGCCTGAGAGTTATTAAGACAGAGATGGCAGCTGCTTTTGTAGGTTTGTGGAGCAATCTGAAGTGGCGTCCAATCGGCGTGTGTTGGATCTGTCCAGCGGGGTTGTTCAAGCGGCTTGTGTTGCATTTGCAGGGGGGAGGGGGGGGGGCTGGCGTGTTCAAGTGACACATAGGCAGCTGCGACTTTGTGGGCGCATGTGCGTCCGAGTTAAAGTCGGCCGAATGGCTGCTGGCCAGCGCATCTGGAATCGCTTACTGAGAAGGTGAATGACCCTAACGAAACAGGATCTTGTACGCCAGACGTGGCCATGGTGGCTGTTGGCAACGAAGACAGTTCCACTATCCGCCATCTGTGCACGAGCTGGACAGGCATGTTTAGACTACCACGCAATCCCCGATCTACTAGGGTGGAATTATTCAGCCATCATCTAGTGTGGGTCGGCAAAAAACAAACCACCAATATCTTCGAACGAAAATGACTATATTGTCCGTCGATTCAGGTTGTATCCAACGACACGGCCGACAGCGTCCTGTGAATGAACAATTTTACAGGAAAAAACGATGACTTCTGAAAAGGCAAGTTAACATGAGAGTTAATCCTCAGTTAGTTATGGAGTTATTCAGCGACAAGACGCGGTGCCCAACAAACGCTTCTGGGTCAGTATAACCTTAGTCAAAAAGTAAATATGTTTTACCTGCATCAGAATGGATCCCCGTCAAACTGTCAACTAAATCCCTATGATGCGGACGAATGGTCGCAAATAATCGTGCAAGATGACGATTTTAGTCATTATACTATTCGCCAACGCAATTCCTTGAGTAAGGCTATCCTGCTGACGCATACGTGGTTCCAACCACAATTAACTACAGCTCGTAAGCAGTAACAATGGGAGTGAGATGACAAATAGTTAAAGTAAACATGCTAACTCATTAAATGTCTACCGAAATTCGGAAATGTGTTTTCGACTCGAAGAGATTACTTAGGTAGGGTTGCAATACTAATCACTGTACAACACAATCCTAAAATATGTCGGTTACTTCGGGATACCGGCTTTTGAACGAACTCCTTTCCAGCCGCCTGCAAAAATTAGACTCTGCAGAAAATGGCTACTTATGTAGTATAAGTTTTTTTCATTGATTTTCGATGTCCTTATGAATCCATGTATATTTCATAAAAAGCATGCATCTTTTGGTAGAACATTTCGTCTTCTTTAAATTGTATGCTTGAAGGAAAAGTATAATTCGGTTTAAAAAAAACTTTTTTAATTCCCGAATGATATTGAACCCGACCTACCGTTACACTTGCATTTAGGGTTTCCAAACTACAAGCTGTATACTTTCCGTGTAGCGAAAGTCATACATTTCTATATGCTATTAGGGGGAGACCATATGTATTTCATAGAAGTTAACAGCGGATTCCAGTAATATTGTAGACTTTACAAGAAACATTGGTAAATGCAGAGACATGATCTTTTATGAACGGCCATTTCATGGTCTTAAAATCTCATAATTAGAAAGTTTTATAAAACCGAATCGTGCTCTTCTGTCAAGTATAAACTCTAAATAAGAAGTAATTTTCTACCGAATGTGTAAGAGAATGAATATTTGTATGCATGTCTTCTATAAAATATATGTGGATTCATAAGGGCACCGAAAATCAATGAGAAAAACTCATACTAAATAAGTAGTCATTTACTGCAGAGTCTAGTTTTCGCAGGCGGTTGGAAAGAAGTTCGTTCAAAAGCTGGTTTCCCCAAGTAACGGAAATATCTTAAGATTATGCGGTACAACCTTACTGCTGTACTACAACCTTGCTCAAGTAGTCTTTTCGAGTCGAAAACTCATTTGAGAATCTCAATTATTATTTCATAGGTTAGCACATCTACCATAAGTAGGGTTGGAGAAATTCGACCAACGCCTTCGAAAATAATGGTGAGGATATGTTTCGGGACGCAAAAATGAGGTTGGTTAGAAAAGTAATTATATCAACTGGATTCTAAGCCTTAAACAATTACGTCTTTGGAGGCAGAAAGAGGACTTCGGGCGCACACGGTTATCCGTAAAGCCAAGCAGACTTGATCGTCGTCATAACCTTATAAACTCTCACACGAACTAGCGATGAAAGACTAGATAGTATATTCCAAAGAGTTGAAACTTTCGTGGGAGGAAAGCCACGGCTAAACTTACTGCGTCGACTGAATATGATGCTCACGTTCCTTGCGAAGACGCTCCTGTTTGCTCTCTGCGGCCGCAAGGCGCTCTTCGTATTCCTTTCGCCTCATCTCTATTTCCTCTCTTCAAGAAAATTAACAATTCTTCTTAAGTTGTATTGAGGACAAATAGACTTCGGAAAATGGGACTCCTGCAATTTGTGATAAAAAATTATCGTTTTCTTAAATGAACTGGAGTTCACGCACACGTCCACGTTCTGTTGTTTACCCATTGCAAATGGTCTTAGGAAATTCGTTCAAAGCAGGAGCGAGGGGGGAGAATATTCAGATCCACATAAGAGTTTACCTTTCCGCGAAAAA